AGGGGAATCCTAGAAAAAGGGAGAAAGAAAAAGAAGTGTGAGAGAAGCTGTGGGGCATCTAGAATAGATAATAGATGTGCTGGTGCCAGGTCCTGAAGAGCAATTTCCGTCCCTTTTGCTGAAATGGCAAGGCTGGCGTATAGAAAGTGGGCCAGTGTGTATGGCCATACTCTGTATCCCGTTGTCCCCTAGGTGCCCAGCATGTTGCTGGCAGGCAAGAGCCAAGGAGAAAAATAAAACCCTTTACTCAGATAAAGCTTTGGTATACATTTATTGCTAACAAAAGGTGCCAGTTCTGACCCAATCCTCTTGCTTAGTTTCAGGCTCGGTTCAGCCTGGATGAGGCTATCAGATAGACCCTATCTATCAGTGGGTCTCAGCCATGTCACAGAGGGGATCGCTTCAGAGTGAGGGAAAGGAGCTCATGTCCCAGGTTCCACTCAGTCTTTGACTTCTCTACTCACATTGCCACAGATGGGGCAACTGCAGAACTAGGGTTTGGGATGTGGACACATGCCCACTGCAGGCTGAACTGTAACCTACCAGCTGTTCTCTCCCAGGGGCTACTGAAGAGCCACTGGAGGGAAAAAGCATTGGGTGAGTCTGAGCTGGGTTCAGCCTGGCTGTGAAAGACCCCAAGTCATGCAACACCCAGGAAAACTGCCTGGGACTCGTATGTCCTCCTGGGATCAGCAGTAATGGTTAAATAAAAACACTGGAGGTTTCAAACTGGCCTCTAGGCCTAGGAAAAGAGCCCTTCCTGGTCCCTGTGTCACTAACTAGGTGACACTAAGCCTTTCCTGAGAGCCAAGCATAGCACAGTGACGAGCGTGCCACACACTGCCAACCACAGGAACCTCTCCAGGGGAAAAGCACCAGGAACTTTGTGTGTCTCCAGGCCTGTCAGGAATTTTAATATGCTAAAGCCACAGAGGCTTTGTGGTTGAACAGGCCCTGCATACTAAAGCTGCCCTGATCAGTCCAGCTCCCTGAGAAGGCTCTGTTGAGCCGAGATGGTTACAGCTCCGGAAACCGCCTCCTACGCCCTTCCCTTTGCTGCTCCTCTCACTCACGCTGGAGAAGCAAATTGTCTTGGGTCTTAGTGACTGGTGTGCAGAAGGGAGGTGGTTATGAAATGGGCCTCCGTGCTCTGCATGGGGAGAGCACTGGATTAATTCAGGGAGTTCTCAGAGTTGTTAGTAGGCATCATAGTGCAAGCATGTGGGACAGAAGAAAGAGAGGAAGTGGCTGAGGGAAAGCTCCCCAGGAACACAGGAATGTGGTGCAGTGATAGGAAGATATCTGGCTACGTTAAATTGGAGTTGCCTGAAGTTTGTTGTCATCGCTCTTACTAGACCTGAGTTCCTGTGGCCTTTCACTGATGGTTATGCAAACACATGGATAGATCAGTAGTGACATACACATGTATGCACACACACGTACATGTCTACAGGCTTGTCTGCTTACGGTTCTCCTCCAGAAGCCATCATTGCAATGTTATACTGCTGACCTACCTGCACACATGCAAGGGCAGCAAGGTAGTATACAAAGCTTACATGCACAGCTGTGGCTGAAAGCTTGCAGAGACACATGTGAGCATGAAGAGACGCATACACTCCTGGAGATCTGGGACAAATGCAGAGAGGTCCAGGTTGTTGCTTGTGCCTAAGTGTATGCATAAGACTGGGAGAAAAATAAATCTTGCAGGAAACGATGCTGAGAAAAGGATCGAGATGGAGACTTTCTAAGCTTCACAGCTAATCCCAGGTGGGGGGAAATGGTTAGGTTACTGTACCCAGGGGTGGGGGCAGGCGAAGTTCCGCCCCCATAGGGAAGATGGAGAAACTGACTGCATGACAGGTAGGACAGGGCATGCATGCACTTGGCAGCCATGGACACAAAGACCCATGTCCAAATGCTTATGCATGGTTGCACCTCAACATACATGGCCACCTATAGAGGCCTTAATCTATGGAAAAAACTGGCCCAAAGGCTGTGCTGTGGTGCCTCTCTCACACAGCAGCCTTGTGCTTTGCCCTCTCCCATCTGTGCACGCAGAGACCAGATGCCCCCCTGGCATGTGAGCCCAGTTCACAGACACTCACAAGAAGGATCAGTTGTATCGCAGCTGTCTCCATTTTACCTGCTCTACCAGCAAACAGATGAGCACAGTATCCTGCAGGCAGCAAAAAAGCAACCTGCTGCTTGGACTCTTCATGACAGGCTGCTCACAGGAGACGGTGGCATATAGGAGAACTGTTGCAGCTGCTGGACGGGGTGCCCCCCACACCAATCACAGACCAACATGGGAATTGAGTGCCCAGAGTTGTGTTTTTCATGGGACCTGGAGTGAAAGGTGCTGAGCCCAGACATGTCAGTGTGGAGTAGAGTCTTGCACAGGGTGAGCCCATGGGCAGGGAAGAAAAGGGCCTATACTACACAGCTCATTAAAATATTGAATTATTCAACAGCTGTGTTAATTGCTTTTAAATTCCCTCCAGCATTAAGAGGCACCATCACTTGGGACATTGCAAAGCACCCAGACACCACACCCTCTTGGGAAGAGGATTTTGCTGCTTTAGACTTTTTATGTCTCCCCCTTCGCTTAACCCCCTGCTTCTTTCTGGGATGGCCCTTGTGCCATCCTCTCCCTCCCTGGCACTTTGTGTCTGCCCTGCCTTTGGTACCTGATTCCAGGGCATCCTGCCTCCAGTCCTCACTGACCAGGTTTTCTAGGCTTTCCTTTGCAAATTTAAAGTTTATCTCTAGATGCATCACACCTCTTGCTGTCCAGCCTGCCTCTGACATAAGCTTCCCCAGAAGACACATATTCAGGACAGCCTAGAGGAGAAGGCTGCTGTAGTATGGAGGAAGCCCACCTAGAAAGCTCCTGCCATGACAGTGTAGGGATGCCCCCATTTTTGAATGGCTGCTCAGAATTTCAGAGCTACGGTGAGGTTGGTTCTCATTCTGTCTCCCAATATTTTGGGGTAATGAACACTTGTCTTCTCCAAAGGCTGAAAGCCTCCTGCTCCCTCCCTTCATTCAAATGTTGCTGCATTCCCTGTGACCTAATCCACACAGGGCTGTACTCCTATTGGGATCTACTTCCAGGAAGAGACCCAAGTCCATGCTTGCAGGCAGTGAAGGAGTGACAGGTCTTTCTAAGAGCTGCTGTTGTGAACATTCATTTTTAATTCAGTTCAGTTCAGCACTGGAGTGCTGAGGGTGTTGGAACAAATTGCTGCTTGTCTCTGATCCTAGCTCCCAAAGCTTAGCTTTTGGGAAGCAGTGGTGGGGAGACAGCAGTGTGGGAACGTCCCTGGTCTCCAGGATGCACAGGCTGTCAGTGTTGTTGTTTGCTGTATTTAGGGCACTGGCCTTAGGAGTAGGAAAATAAACATCCCTTCCCCTGTCTCCCGCCCACATGCCTTCCTGGTGAATATCTCTTTTTATCAGGTCTGTACTGGAGCCCACAGCTATGTGGACGTCACCTAGTTTAGTACCTAGATTAGCCCGGATCCATTTTCTAATAATTTCTATGAGCTGCTCTCTCTGGGATGAGGCTGCCATTGGTAATGGTTGGTAAAGCTCAGCTGTGGGACCTCTGCCACCTAATAGCAAAGTGCCTCGTGTTCAGTCTATGATGCTGTCCCCCTGCAAAGAGGAAGCTCCAGATGTGTGTGACTGCTCATATGTACCTCACAGTTTCAGGCATATCCAGGTGGTTGAAGTCCTTGGAAACGAGGCTGCATGTTGTGACTCAAGTTTCCTAACCCAGCTTGGGCTGTGGTGCTACAAGGGGGGCTATTGCAACTCTGAGACAGGGAAAGGAGGGAGCTGCAATCTCTTTTACTCTAAGCAGGCACTCACTGGCCTGACTGGTCATCTCACTGCACTGCCAGCTGGCAGGGCTCTCTGTGTCTCCAGGCTTTACTTGGCAGGCTCTCTCAACCCATTCTTGCCACTTTTGCTGGGGACTGGGTGTTCAAGTGAAAGGGAATGATTGATGGGGTGACAAGTGACTCACAGACCTGGCAAAGCTCACAGTCAACGCTTATCGGACTCCATGAGTTTGTGCAGCTGCTGTGAACTTTCCTGAACTGTCTCTGTACAGAGGCGTATACACAGTGTGGGTCAGGGGCACTTGGACCCACCGTCTTCCCTGGTCTGTGTTGAGTGCAAGGCATGGAGTGAGGTGCGAGTCATACATTTTTTGCATTACTTTCCTCCAGGAAGGATCCAGCTTCCTGGGTTGGTGTGGGGTTGGGAGGCATGCAGTATGGGACCATATCGCTGACCCATGCAGCTATGATGAATATTGACTTTACTCAACCACTCACTGTCTTATCTGAACTGTCATTTCACAGTCCGGCATCCATTCAGTACAAGGGTTTTTAGTGATATCTTTTATTGAACCAACTGTACAGTTAGGAGAGATGTTAGACAAGCTTTTGGTACAAAGTGCCCTTCCTCAGGTCTGGGAAAGAAACAGAAATGGCCTATGCTGCATGTCAGATAAAACATTGGCTTCTGTGTAACTCCATTTTTCAAAGAAAATAAATACAAAACTTCTCACGTAAAAGAAATCTTCTCACAGAAGAATTACAGCATTTCTGACCTCATAGTCCTTATACTCAAAGGAAAACTACAAAACACCTTCAGACAGTGGGCCCAGGGACAAAATTCATAACACCATAGACTAAACATAGATGTCCTTTCTAAGCTCTCTGTACTCCATAGGTACCTTTCCATAGGTAGGCTCCTTTCCCTTCTGAATGGTCTTGTTCTTTTATATAATTAGGTCATCTATTCAACTAAACTTCTCTTGCTTTGCCGTTACTACTGATAACTTCTCTTCACTTCTAATTTTCAGCCCTCCTGATCTAAGTTTCTTTTACGTATGGAATTAAACACAAGCCATTGTTTTATCCCTTGCTTCTTGCATAGACCATCCTGACTATAAAACCAATTACATTCAGGACAAGGAATACTAGGGTCATCATGGGCAAAGTTTCCTTCTCTACTGCTAACCTCTTTTCTGTGTTGCAGCTACTAAGACAACCTGAGAAGAAGCTCCATGAAGGTGACCAGCCATGCAATGTTCCTGGAAGGCTGTCCTCCTACTAGCTTTGGCATCCATTGCTATCCAGTACACAGCTATCCGAACTTTCACTGCCAAATCCTTCCACAGCTGTCCTATCCCCAACCCAGTGAACTGCAGCCTGAGCCAGGAGACTGATTCAGCCGACAGGCTATGTGACGAGAACCCCACCTTCACTTACAACCTCTCCAGGAAGACGCACGTCCTTATCCTGGCCACCACCAGGAGTGGCTCTTCTTTTGTTGGACAGCTGTTTAACCAGCACTTTGATGTCTTCTATTTATTTGAGCCCCTCTACCATGTCCAGTACACCCTGATCCCAAAGCTGACACAGAGCAAGAGCACCACTGACAGGCGGGTCATGCTGGGTGCCAGCAGAGACCTGCTGAGGAGCCTTTATGACTGTGACCTCTACTTCCTGGAGAACTACATCAAACCCCAACCAGTGAACCACACGACAGACCGGCTCTTCCGCAGAGGGGCCAGCAAGGCCCTGTGCTCTCCTCCGGTTTGCGAATCTCTGGGTCCCATCGACCTCCACCTGGAGGAAGGGGACTGTGTGAAGAAATGTGGCACCTTGAACCTGACATTGGCCACAGAGTCTTGCAAAGAGCACGGGCATGTGGCCATCAAAACAGTGCGTGTGCCAGAGGTCAGTGACCTCAGGGCCTTGGTGGAGGACCCTAGACTAAACCTGAAGGTCATACAGTTGGTGAGAGATCCCAGGGGTATCTTGGCTTCCAGGAGCGAGACCTTCCGGGACACCTACAGGCTGTGGAGGATCTGGGATGGCACTGGCAGGAAGCCGTACAACCTGGATGTGACTCAGCTCACCACAGTCTGCGAAGACTTCCTGAACTCTGTTTCCACAGGGCTAAACAGGCCCCCTTGGCTCAAAGGAAAGTACATGCTAGTGAGATATGAAGACCTGGCCCGAAACCCTATGAAAAAGACTGAGGAGATTTATGACTTCCTGGGCATCCCCATGGACAGCAACGTCGAGAGGTGGATACAGAACAACACGCGAGGAGACAGGTCCTCGGCCAAACACAAGTATGGGACCGTCCGAAATTCAGCAGCAACAGCGGAGAAATGGCGGTTCCGCCTCTCCTATGAGATTGTGGAGTTTACGCAGAACGCCTGCCAGCAGGTGCTAGTGCAGCTCGGTTACAAAATGGCGGGTTCCGAGGAAGAGCTGAAAAACCTTTCCATCAGCCTCGTGGAAGACAGGGACTTCCTGCCCTTCTCGTAACACAGCCATTGGGGGCTTGTGCTCTATTTTTAATATCTAACTGTTGCCTTATTTTATTTTAATTTGTTCCCCACCCAAACCCCCTTTTTCTCTCCAAAATTTGCACTAAATCTTGAATGGGAATCTCAATGGAGTTACAGTGAAGAGGCTGTCACCTCTCACCAATGTGCTTTGGACGCAAAGGAATTGGGTCTCAGAGCAAGAGCTAAAACTGTGGATGGGTAACAATGTTTACAAAACACACACACACACACACACACACACACACACACACACACACAATGTATAAAAACATCCTTCAAGCTTTCCAAACCGAAGGGTACCTGGGGTACTGTACTTTTGCACTGTTTACTTTTACAATGTAAGAGATAAATCTATATATATATATAATTTATGAATGGTGTTGTCACTTCAAGAATAATTCTCTTTGCCTCCTGATTATAAGCAGGTTATACTTTTAGCTGAATGTGGAATAACCTCGTTTTTGATCTCGTTTCAATATGTCTGTTTGTTTAAGTCATGTTATCGGGCTGGGCAGTCAGTCGATCGTTGATCCATGGTTGTTTGGTAACACCTGTGATATTTCTTTGAGCCAAAAGAAATTGATTGGGCGGTTTGGCAAAAAGAAACAAAATTAATGCTTTATTTCTGTGTTTTCTGTAAATAAAAGAGTGCAATAAAACTGACTTGGAGGTGAACTTTGACTGGAGGAGCTCCTCAGAGGCAACAGATGGACAGAAACACGATTAAAATTTAATGGCACTGATAGAGAAGGGTTGACCCACAATAGCTCTGGTAGTGTGTCCCCTCTGGAATGTAGGGCTGGGCTGGAGGAATGATGGCAGGAGACACATAAAGAAGCGCTAGGCCACGCAGGCTGAGGAAGGCCTGGTCTAGTCCTGGAGAGTCATTCAGAGCTGGGGGAAGGAATGGAACTTCAGAATTCATTGCTGGCTGCAAAGCATGTGAAAATGCAGCTAGTTCAGTTACAACAGCAACAATCCCATGTTGTCTACTGGCCTGGAGGCTCTTGGCTTGAGCACTAACAAGAGGCCCACTAGGAGAGGCCAGCAGCCTGGCTACCGCACTGTGGGAAGGGGCTAGCCCAAGTAGCAGGACATCTGGCCAAGGCACTGGAGATACTCTTTTTAGACTCTTGGGTCTGACTCCCTCACTGCTGGCCAGCAGGTGTTAGTGAGTCTAGGTAAAAATACTAGCATTAATAATTTGTCTAACAGTAAGTTGGGGAGTCCCAGCTGGGATCAATGCTTCACTGTGCTTGGCATTTCACTAATGCAGAGCAAGAGACACCCCCTGTCCTGGACAACCTGTAGTTGAAATAAGACAGATAAAGGGTGTTTGAGGAAACAGGGACACAGAGTGCTGAAGTGATTCACCCAGCAGGTCAAGAGAAGAACAAAGATCCTGAAACCAGTTTTCCTGGGTTAGCGCTGTCTGTTAGGGCTCCCTCGCTCTGCTTCCTCTCCAGGGAGCAGGCAGGGACCCACCTGAAGAAGAGCTCCAGTGGAAGATGGACTCCAGGGAACAGGGGTTCTCTTGGCAGAAGGGGGAGGTGTGTCTTAGGGGATATGCCTTCCATTTGGTTTATGACTGATTTCAATAGGAAGTGGATTTGAGCTGGGGAGCTGTAATGACCGTGCACAAAACCAGCTGAAGACCTAGCAGAAACTGCCTGCTTGCTACACTTACAAAAGCCAAGAGGAGGAGGACAGGGGTTAAAGAGAAGGGAGGTGGGTGGGAGGCTGCATGATTCTCAGTTAAACTGTCCTTTAAAGACCTTTGGAAGTGCAGGAGCATCTGCCACAAGAGTCTGAGCTCATCTTGCTCATGGCATTTTGCAAACTGGCCTCACTTGAAAAATAGAAACCTATTTTAACTGGAAGTGGCCATAAAAGGTCAGCAGAAAGATGAGTCTAGTGGTCGCTCCTTGGAGTTTGCAGGGACAGGAGAAGCACCTTATAAATCATCTGTGCTAGCTGCAGTGAGTGGCTCAGTGAGGCAGAATGGAAACACCTGCAGCAATCGCTACCATAGCTCTGCTGGCAGCCCAGAGATTGCAACTGCTCTCAGACCCCAGCACCGGATGCCGATGCCCTGGGATGTACCATCTTCAGAGGTTGAACCTCCCTGAAAAAGATGAGGGAACCTCATGTTTCACCAAGCCCATAAGACGCATGTTGGTCACCCCAACCCTAGCAGATGACATGCTGAGCACCCACAGAGGCAAGGCAGCACATCCAGTGTTGGACCACAGAGGTGTTCTGGGCCAAGTGCATCACTAATAAACACGTTATTCTCCAAAGCATTAGTTGGCAGGAAAATGGCAGCCTGCCTTTAGAAGATGCTATTTGAAAGTAAATAAATGGCTTGATTGGCCCATTACTACTTACTGAAGTAAATGGATTCTTTTGTTGACGCTTTCAGATTGAGCATTTCACTCTGAACATTACCTGGTAATGGCCTCGTTAGCAACTGCTTTTATTGTCTGGACTGATGTGTTTTATGCAGGGCAGAGAAATGATAAATGGGGGAAGCCACAGCTAGCCAAGGAGCTTGGGCCCCTGCTGGAGCCAGCCTGTTATTCTCCCTTCATTCTCCTCCTAAAGCTCATTTTAAATTTTCCTGAAGCTTTAGTCTGCCCCTTGCTTATCACAACCTTGCTAGTTCAGCCATATCTTAATGCTGTCAGTTCCCCTACCACGGCTATGTTTGCATCCTGCTCTAGTGTCACTTGAAATCATCCCAATTTCATTTCCTTTATGGAGCTGGGACTGCATCCTAGTGTGAAACATGGTGGCAGGTGCAAGATGGGGCACTGAGCCAGAGGGACCCAGTGATGCACCAGTCCCAGCACTGAGCAGACCAGTAACTTCAGCAAATTCACTGCCCATTTGTGGTGGATTCAGTGCCTCTTCATCACAAACTCAAACCTGAGCACAAGCACAATAGGCTGAATTACTACAGTGCTGTTCAGGCTGCGCTCCCTATGGCTCAACAGACAATTACCGAATGGGTCCTTTGCCTGGCTCCCAACAGTTGGAGGGCTGCTCTCAAGTAGAGAGGGGAGCACGACCCTATGGCTATGAGAAAACCATGGTGAGGGCAGTGCCCAGGTTGGCATGGGCCACAATGGAACTTGCTAACTTTCACATGGATAGAAGGAGACCAAAAGGAGAGAAGGGCAGTTGGCTTGTTTGCTCTTTGTTAGGAGCACAGTGATGCATTCGGCAACTTGAAAACCATGTCTTAGTATAAGCAAGGACAGAGATGCAGCCCTGACTGGAATGGGCTTGGTGAGGCCTGGAGGTCACATCTGATTTTCCATTTAATTATTCTGCCTCCTTTTAATGGTATTTTGTTCTATCCCCCTTCTCCTTACTCCCCAGAGACAAGGACTGACACAACAGAGAGTTTTATCCTCAAATTTTACTGTATTTAAAATACAGAGATGCAGAATATTGCCAGAAACACAATGCAAAACAAAAAACTCCAAACCTGGAAACAAACTGCTTACATTGAAATGATAAAGAACAGAAGTATCCTCCTAAGCTTACTGCACCATCTCTAATGCCACTAGGAGCCCTGGGCTGGGGGCTTGAAGAGTTGTTTAGAGTGGGTGGATTGCCTTGGAGCTGCTGTATTTAGAGGGCAGAGAGCTTCTCAACCAAATACATGGAGAAGAAAGGTGGGCACCCCCATCCTCCCCTCATTTCCACATTTGCATACATCCTGGGTTTTATATGAACTGCTTTGGGATGACAGAGACACATATATGACCCATGACATGAGGAGCATTTTAGAGAGGGAATACAGAGAAAATATACTCAGAGATATTTTTTTTATAGCAAACTAACTGGAATGGATCACAACTGAGGAAACACACTCCCGGGGCTTTGTCCTCTTTCCCTCACCAGAGAAACAGTCAGAGCAGAGGAAATGGGGTCATACTCCCATTTCCCTAATTTCAGAGCCACCCAGATGACTTCCTAATGAGAATTTCACCTGGGGAGGAAGGGAAAATGAAAGAAGAAAAAGAACGAGATGGAGAGGATATTAAGGCAGGAAGAGTGGATGAGGAATTGCTAGGGGTTCAGCCCCCCCCCCATTTTGCAATGCTGCCCTCTTCACCAGCTGAACACACCTTGCACAGAGCAAAGAAGTCATCACTTCTAGGTTACAATGTCTACATGAAAAAAATGGACCATCAAGAAGCTCCCTTACATCAGTCTGACCATTGCCCTTTGACTGGAAATGCTAACTAGCTCTTTGCTTTAGTATGACAGGGGTTTTGCATGGAGGGGCAGACAGGAGACAGCTCATTGCTGATTCAGAGGCTAATACCAGTGTGATATAATCAGTGCAAAAACAGTGTGTGATGGCCAGCATTGGCTCATCTAGGCAATGTTACAAGTTGTCATGAAAAATGGATGTTCAATGCAAGGGAGGTGCCTTCTGAACCCCACTGAGAAGAGCCTCAGCTTAGGACGCTCCCCAGTATCTTCCTGCCCAGTTGCATTAACTCCATTATCCCTTTGTCCTCCATGCTTCCTACTCCACCATTCCCTACTAGCAGGTGCCAACTACAGCAGCACTGTCTTGTTCAATTGACTGGGATCAGTACTTTAAAGGGGTCCTAGACATTTCCCAGATGGTGCTTCCATTCTTCTGTACAGCCTGGTAATGGTGAAGAGGCTTGGGGGACTTGATCCAAGCCATGTTTACAGCGAGCTCACCCACTATTCTTGCTTGCATACTTCCCACTTGCTGCTATAGGCCCCAAGCTCTACACAAGCTGGGCTGCCAGAACAGAAATCCTGACCATTTCTTCACCCCTATTCTCTCCTTCTGAAGCTATCACACAAGGGCCATTCCTGAGCTGATCAAGAGTTTTCTTCCATTTAGTCTTCATCTGACGAAAAAGTTACATACGGATGGTGAAGACAGGAAAGAAGAACTCAGGGAAAGGTCTTGAAAGGAGCCCCTAATGTCAATGTAATGGTACTAAGAACAGAATGGGCTCAAGAAATGCTTTCATTTTGTTCACCCCCTTGTGCTCTACTATTCCACGTGTGGTTCTGGGAAATGGGGTCTTGAGGAGGAGCTGGTAGTAAAAAGTCCTTCCATCCCCAAGGAGAACTGACAGCAAGGGGCTGGCGGGGGTGAGAGGACAGAAAAAATTTCCTGATCTGCTCTCCATCAGTGTGAGAGTTCAGAAAAAATTTCCTGATCTGCTCTCCATCAGTCCCTTTGTGGAAACTGTCGAAGGGAAGTCTCTATGTTATCTGTCTCCTCCTGACCTAGGGTTTGGGAGGCACCAGATGGCCATTCATCTACTTTGCCCAGCAAATGTATCAAACAGGAGAGAGATGTTGACAGCTTAGCTAATGATGGACATTTATTAGCTGCAGGGTCAGGGCAGGATTTAGAAGAACAAGGAAAAAATCAAGATGCACCCAGGGAAGGGTGATGAATGAGGGTGCACAGACTGCTTGGTAGATGGGAAGAGCTGAGTAAAACTTCCCAGGGCCTTGCTGATTGCTGAAGAATATTCCAGCAGGGTATAGATGCACAGATTGAAGTCTGATCTCTCTGAAGTTGCTGTCTTCAGAGACAAACCTAACATGTCTGTGTCAGTCAGGCCGGCAGAAAAAAGCATCAGCAAAGCAGTTTCCTCTTTAAAAACAAAGCAGCAGGTCAAGCCATTTTCATTCTACAAAGAGCTACATACTGCAACGATCAGCAAATTCTTTGCCACTGCAAATAGCAAGGTCCATTTCCCAGCAAGGGTGACGGAGAGAGACCACGAAACTCAGCTTGGCTAGTGAAGGATCCTGGTCAACTCAAATCAGGCCAAAAAGTGGTTTTCAGAAAAAGTCAAAATTGAAAAAGGTTCATGAGTCCAAGAAAAAAAAAAAAAGTCAGTGAAAAGGTTTCTTGCCCCTGTATTTAAATATTCCCTGACATCAGAGACCCAAACCCACCAACATCACAACTGCAGAAAACCATGAAGTGGAACAGACTAGGAACAGAAAGAGAGAACAAACTAGGCTGGGTTCATTCTTCAAAATAAAGGGCAAAACTGGAACAAACAGCACAGATGGGAGAAAAGGAGATTTTTTTTATACATTCTTTTGGTTTTAATAAACTAAATGGTTAGGCACCTTGGGAAAAACTGTCTTCCACAACATGATTTTTATTTTGACAGTGTCCCTATATAAAAACCTATATGCTAGAAGTGCCAAAGGTGAATATATAAACTCCTCTGCTGCAGTGGCACAGTTGCATTTACCTGGCTGAGAACATGCCTGTGGACTGGCAGATTACAGACACGCACACTAACATACAGGCATATTTATAAAATACAGCACAAACACTGCTTCATTTTTCTATACACCCAACCTCTAACAATCTAGGTTAACAACCTGACAGAAGCCAGGAAAGGCAAAATTAATGTTGGAACCTGGGGTCTTCTTCATCCCATTAATTCTAGGGCTTCCAGGGGACATGTGTGTGCGTGTGCGTGCGCATAAGAGATCATGCGACTCCTGGAGCACTTTGTGGTGGGTTCAGGATGGAGAGGCAACTCTGGGCTTAATATGGGTTTCTGGGCTTTTTCTGAGCTAAAGAGCTCAGGGTGATTTTTCTTCAATGCAACATGCTTATTCACCTGGGGCAGGCTGGAGCTCCACAAGCAGTGGGTTACAGGAGGTGCTCACAACAGGATCACCCATTTGAGTGCACTTGCATAGGGAAATCACTTTCTAAAGCAAATCGGTGGGCTCACAATGGCGCCAGTGCAGTGTAGGGAGTTGCCCTTGAGCTGCTGAGCCCTGGCAAAAGTGACGTCCTAGACTACGGCTCACTGCAGTACTCAGACAAGATGGAGGAACATGCTTCACCACAGTGTAGAACAATGTCTGAGCAGTGGTAGCATGAGTCAGGCTTAGAGTCAAAGTGACCCTGCTGCATTTACCTGGCTGAGAACATGCACACGGGGAAACTCCAATGGGGCTGAACTTACTTGCATGGGGGCTAAGCTTGTCTTCCCAGTGAGAAGAACATTACTACCTCCTTATGATGGAAGCAGCACTGGCCATAGCCATAGCCACTGGCCATAGCCTGGCAGTGCTGCCTCTTGCTATGGAGTTACAGGGGCCCGGTAGCTCTGTAATAACACTGCATTGGTGCCAGTCATTTCCCACCATGAACTAAGGTGACCTACGTTCTCCCTTCTTCCACTCTCAAATAGCAAACAGATTTGCTCCTCCATCACAGCCACCCTTGAACAAGGAAATCTGCCCCAAGGTTTTATGGCATGAAGCATACAACATGCTTGTGTGGCATCACCAGGACTTCTGGTTGGGGCTCAGGGTTCCATCTTTAAAGGACACATTTAGCCTGAGTGCATGGCTGGGAGAGCCAACCTGAGGACTATGGCCTATTAACAAAGGATCTCAGTCGTCCTCTTGATTTTGCCAGCAGGGGAGGAGGAAGCCTTTTCCTATTTATGGTAGATCACCTTCATATTCTTGGAATTTTCTTCATGGCAGATTTCCTCCTCCCCTGCCTGAAGGCAGATCCCTAAGAATCTCTCAGAGCCAAGGAACTGGACTATTACAGAGACTGCTTCCCCAACTGAGGCTGAATCCAACTAAAATAAAATGAAAGGACCATCAGGAACATGTGTGCTCTCAATGCTAGGACACAGTTTTTCCCACCCACCCACTGTCTCCAGAGAGATGGAGCCCAGTGCTTACTCCAACCCTTTTAGTACTCAGGAGAGCAAGAAGGGGAGAAGGAAATTTCAAGGTAGAGACAACTGCGTCTTTAAAGCCCTCGGAATAGAGATAGTTCCCAGTAGGTGATGGGAGTGAAAGGCATTTGCAGTGTCTCTGTGAACTTTGAGCCAGGCAGGTGGTGCTGAACAGGCTGCAGCTGGAGTCTGCACTGGTACTTATCCCCTCCCTGAGGTGGCCATTTCCAATCTGAAGAGGTGCTGTGTAGGGGGGGGGAGCATATGGACAAGTTGATTTTTCAGAAGGAAGCTGCAATCGTGGCTAGTCAGCCTTGTCCTTCTTCTTTGCAGTGAAAGGGACTTTGCTGGCAACTGCACTGCCCACGGCTCCCATGCCACCGGTCACTACTGAGACGCTGCCCTTTACCAGTCCAACACCAGCAGCAGGGACACTGCTCACAGCTGTTTTGGTGAGTTCCAGGCTCTTGCTGCCAACCCAGGCAACTCCTCCTAATGTGGCACCCACAGCTCCCCGGGTAATGCTGAACAGGCCTCCTGTCACTCTCCAGATCACTCCAGCCTGTTGCTGAGGATGGTCCTTGCTGGAGTCTGCAGGGAGAAGGGAGGAGAGAGAGAGAGACAATAGGGAAGAAATTAGAAGCATTAACTCTTTGCCATCTGGCACAGTGGGAAGAGACAGGCACACCCCACTAAGCTTCTCCTCTCCCAAGGCTTTCATCTTATTAGAATGCCTTGGGGATGTTCTCCTTAGGTCTCTGGAGCAACCAGTAAAGAGACTGTACCTAGCCCATAGCCCTGTACATTTGAGGAAGTTTTGTGTGTGCTGGGTAATTGCCCATGTGCTACAGAAGGGAGCAATCAAGTTCCATTATGTACCATGAAATATTTGTGACCTGATTGAAGGTATTCCCCATTACCTAGATATGTAAGCCCTCTCCTTCTTCCACCCTATCTAATGCTGGCAAGGCACACTGTTTACTACCATAAAATGCTGGCAAGGCACACTGTTTACTACCATGTCACATATTAGAGATTGCTAGCATGGGATACCAAAACTACAAGAGCTGAAAAGGGTGAAATTCTAGTGGGCCTATGGACACTCAGAAGTTAGAGTAGGTATACATTGGAATTGGCAGTGTGACTGTGGCATAAACAAGCATACCCTCAGTGGCTTGACTTAAGCTAGCACAGGAAAACACTACGGTAAAGATATAATAGCATGCCCTTCCTCTGGGGACCTCAGAGTGATGCTCAGGTTGCTAGCTGGTGCTGAAGGCAATGTCACCATACCTTCACTGCTATTATTATGTATCCTAGCTGGGTGAAAGCTGGCATGGGTATGCCCACCCATGCTGCAATCACACTTCCCAATTCTGGTGGAGACTTGTCCTGAATGCATAGCCTGGTGCCGCGTTCACCATTTGCTGGGGAGATGGCTGGTCGCCACCTTCTACTTGTGGTGTCCTAATTTTTCATCTCTGATGTTGTCTTGTACGCTGTCCCCTCACCTTGCATCTGCTGCAAAGAATCAACTGTTCTTTGTAGCAGAGTGAGATATTTTAGGTACTGTGGTTTCTCATTTGCTGCTAGTTCTATACAGGAGCAATACTACAACCAATCTCATGAAAACAGCAAAGGAATCATGGTGGGCAGGAGAGGAAACTTCTATTGGGAATACTGAAGTATTGAGACAGTAGTCCTTTCTAACCCAATGCTGATCCATGAACCCATTTTAATTCAGTAGCTGAGTTTTTAATGGGGACATGCTCCCCATGATCTGGGAAGTGAGGAAACCATGGAGATGAACAGTAAGCTGTTGAAAGTCTACAAGCAACATGGCATAATGACATGCCTGCACAGATCCCAGGCCAGTAGTCCTGTCAGAACTAGTATGTCACTTGGCAAAGAGCACTGCAAAGATTCTGTAATCGCTGTGAAGGCAGATACTCCCAGGAGCTCAGTGAGATCCCTTAGCACTTCTATGTTCTCTGGAACATGCAAAGGAACTGAGCCTGGAATATATTTCACCAAAAAACCTCTCAAAGCAACTCAGTAATGGAATTCCCACTGAGATGCAGCATCTTGTTCCCAGCCACATCCCTGGAGTGCACTGGGTGAATGGGCCACTGACACTTGAATGTTACAGGCAATTATCCCAGTGAGTGGAGAACAGCTTACTATAATTTAAACATGGGCTGCAAGATGGCTATAGTTTCTTCCCTTGGGTCCTAGGGATTCACAGGTTTCATGCTGCAACTTGTGCTCACTTTTGCCCTCCTCTCAGCTCTAATGACCACTGCTCCTCTTAAAGGGAGCCCCCGGTTTGTTTACTCACGTAGCCAAACCAGTGAGCTGTGCTCCTCTTTGAATGCTAATAATATTCCAGTCAACAGAAGAATCCATCTGGAAAACTCCCTTTTGATATCTCCACCCATTTTCATTTTTCACACAGATTACAGCCAATATTGATTCAGTCAGTGGATCTCCTCTACTAGCAAGCAAACGACTTGGGAGCTTCAGAAAGCATATAGAATAGCTAACAGCACAGCAAGGCCGTGTGATGTTGTACACCATGGCTGATGGGAGCTGTCAAAGCCAAATCTACTATGCAAAACCTATTACTGCTGTTTTGCTCCCCTTCCCAACACCTCCACCACTGTTTTCCTTATCCACCTGATCCTTGTTGCCATAAGTGTAGACTGCGAGCTCTCTGGAGCCCAAACCGTCTTTTCTGTGCAGCACAACAGCAATCTTAAGTGCTGCTGGGAAACATGCTTTAAGAAGCAACATGCCAACAGTGCCCAGCACCAGCAAAGGATATATTTTACCCCTGGAAGAACTGGCTTCCCCAGTATACATACAGAGGAAGGGAGGATTTATACCTCACTGTGCAGGTCTGAAATGTGCTGTGTATGATAAGCACAGCTGCATCCCATCAGATGGATGAATAATTGGCTGCCCCACTGTCACTCTGGGAGGAGGAACACAGCTCCAGCTCTTTTGCATGCAAACAGCAAAAGGAGTATCTTTGTAGTCTCCACCCTGGTCGGGTACGTTGAGTAAACTGGGGCCTCCTTGGTTCAGATAGTGTCCAAGGAGCATTCCTTGGTATCATGCAGGCTGCTTAGCAGGATCATCAGTAACCTGCAGCTAAATCTTGAGACAGGGTGTTTGCTGGGGGTTATCAGATGACAGGTCTGAATAAGCTCTGGATGTTTCCATGCTGAGCTGACCAACCTGGTCTGCAATATTGGGTGTGACCAGCGTTCCTG